AGTTGCACACATACCCTTGTACTCTGCCACTGGCTCCCCAGCCCTTCAGACACCAACTCACGCTACACAGGGCTTTGCAAGCGCCTCCTGGGGAGTCTCTGTACTCTAAGAAAGCTCTTTCAGAAGAGGTTTCTCACAAAGTAGGTGCCTCAGTGTGGGGAGCAGGGTGGAGAGAAGAGGTAGGGGAAGCCTCCATACCATCAGCTACATGAAGCATCCCATTTTCAAGAGAAATGCTGCTAATGCTAGAGCCATGCCTGTGGCAGTTATGCCCCCAATCCCACATTACAGAGTTACAGCGTAGTGGGAATTTTTGTTACAATAAACAGGCAAATTCAAACTTGTTCATGAAAACAGACAACAAATGGCTTTGCTTTGTGTTGAACATACAGAGTAACAGGGTAGCACATACTTTCAATAAGCAGAAGCATAGCTGACCTGTGCTGAATTTGGAGGTCTTGGAGTTATCTTCCATAGCAAAATACTTCCAGGAATAACATACACACTCTCTGAATCTGGCAATGGCATCTCATCTGATTCCTCAGTATTGCCCACCTAAAGGCAGCACACAAAAAAAAAGAGGAGTTCTTTGGGGTCATATACCATTTACACCCGTTCATTCCAACATGGGAACTTACACATTTTTTTTTCCTTGATGAAAATTAAATAACTTCAGCAACAAAGAAACTTTTCTAGATGAAAAAGTTTCTTTCTTTTCCTTCAAGAAGGAAACAGCGTGAACATAGCATACATCCCAGTTCCCTCCCAATGGAAGGCTACCGGGAGTTTCTTGTATCAACATCTTTGTAGATATAACATGGATGTTCGAGCATTAAGAAATGTCAGTTTTTCTACCACAGAGGTATCCTGTTTCCTCAAACACAAGCATTTCCATGCCTGATATTTACCTCCACTACTGCTTCATTAAAGTTGAAAATTATAAGTCACATTCTGGCTTTAAGTGGTTTTAAACTGGAAGAGGGTAGATTTAGACTGGATATTAGGAAGACATTCTTTACTGTGAGGGTGCTGAGACACTGGCACAGGTTGCCCAGGGAAGTTGTGGATGCCCCCTCCCCGGATGTGTTCAAGGCCAGGTTGGATGTGGCTTTTGGCAACCTGGTCTGGTGGGAGGTGTCCCTGCCCATGGCAGGGGTTGGACTGGATGAGCTTTAAGGTCCCTTCCAACCCAAACCATTCTGTGATTCCTCATCCTTCCAGATCGAAGAAGCAGCACCCAATGCAAATGCTGTCTTCAGTTTGGTCAGAACAGAAAGCCCTATGCTACTGCTCTCTCAGAGAAACCTTCCTTTCCATTGACCACTACACTACTGAAATGGCAAAATGCAAGTGTTAAAGGAACATCCCAGATCAGCTGCTTCTCCTGTGAGGGCTGACACATACAGCCTGAGGCAGCTGCAGCCACAGCACCGTGAAGTAGTTTTTCGCAGGAAGAGGAAAATCTCTGCCCAGGGTTTCTAGGGCAGTAGAGAGTAAGTGGTGGTCACAGTGCAGAAGTGACCTGAACCAGTCCTAAACCATGACTCACTGCTTTAAATTTAGCAGCTGGGGTCCAACACTGCTACCACCAACTCTGCCGCACAAGCCTATGTTACAACACTGAACCAAAGCCTGTCAAAGAACGTGGCTCTCCCAAGAAAACCCGGTGTCACTGTCACAGCTACAAACATCAGCACATTTCGGACACCGCTAGAGAGTAAAGCTGAACTTCAAGACACGTGATGCTTTCAATACTGTGGCTACAGGCCAACAGCTTTAATCCTGCTGCTAGTAAGCTTTGCTCTCCAATGGTTGTGTCAGATAATGCAGACCGACGGTTTAGGGCAAAACACCCCAGCACCCAAACTGGACTCAGTTGTCCTCTGATTTGTGCTTTACGTCTCCAAGAAAATCAAGAAGTATAAAGGATTGTTTCACTGGAGAGCACCTGGGGACAGTGCTTGTAATAATGAACAGGTTGCAAAGTAACCAGCACAATACACAGACCAGGCTCAGTCCCTCAGCTATTGGGAAGATAACAGGGCTTTTAGTTGACTACATCTGAACTGTACTGGCAGCCTGCTGTTCTGTCCTTTAAAGGACACTGATCAGTCTTCCAGAAACCAGGAATTTGAAGCAGAACAGATCAGAAAGATAGCCTTGTATCAAAACAAAGACACTTCCATACCAGACTTCAATAGCAGACTGTCAAACTCCAAACCAACTTTTATAGAAAGGCTACAATACACACTGTGATCTGTTCCTTGTTAGATACATAATCTTAAAAATGTCCTAAGAATTACAAAGAACTAGGTAAAAAGTGGATTTTCATGTGCTCTTGCCACAATGATCCATATTTTATGCTCTTCCATATAATTGCACTGAAAATTCTGCAAAAAATGCATCATCTTGATTAAAAAAAGGCTCCAGTTCATTCAGAGCAGAATCACCCTGGTCTAAGGCCAAGCCTACTACAGCTCTTCTAGTGTTGGTAAAACAGCACCTATGCATACACAAATGCTTGTCTAGCTCCCTGCACGATTATTTTTCTTTAGATTTTATCCCTATAAAAATCAAAGGGACTCAGGGGAAGATCTGGGGCAATTTGCAAAAGGACTCGCATCCAAGAAGCTCCCCTAGAAGAAGCGATTCTTCATTAGCAACAACGCAACACGAAGGAACAGTTGAAAAACAACTAAATAAATCTGAAAATTCTAATTTGAGGAAGTTTGAGAGGCCATGGACATTCATGCCTGAACGAATCCTTCACTAGCATGAAGGGACAAACCACCTCCAGACAACAACGTACATGAGACTTGGCTCACCTAAATGCTCCAAACCCATCTGCAGTATCGGCTCTTCCAACACGAGGGGGCAGTGGGAACACACAGTGAACAAGGACTATCCGATTCATAGTGTGTATTACAAAGCCTTCCGTTTCCTACACAGAAATAGTTCTGTGAAGGGAGTAGAAAAAACGTGCTTTTCTTGAGTTAGAGCAACATTGCAGCTTGAGCTTTATGCAACAGGACACTTCATTTTTAAGTGAAAAGCGAGGATCACCTTAAGCACTGTTGGAAAATGCAGCTGAACATAGACACAGGGTATGTTTTTCTTTGTTACTTCTCCCCAGAGCTCACAGGGTCAGACTCGAGAAGGAGAAGCAGTGATCCCCAGGGCTTTAGTGCTCTCCTGACAACAAGCACAGAGCAACCTCAAATACACCAACACTCTGAACCTGCACAGAAACATCTCCTCTCAGAGCTCTCTGTCTCTTTCTTAAATATAAAAACTACCAACACTCAAAACTGACAAAAAAATCTGGCTTCAGCCACCAAAGGGGAACAGTCTCTTTTTTAAGCTATCCTGTGAGTGGTTGTTCTACATCAAGCTGTACGTTGTCATCATTGCTATTCACCTTAAACAAAAAGCACACTGCTAACAAAAATCTAGAAGAATTGAGAATGAGGTTTTTTTTCTAGGAGGGAAAAAAAAAGTGCAAGCATTTCTATGGTTGTGAAAATTTAGTAGAAAACAATACAAAAATTCCTTTTAAAAGCTGAGAAATAAATCGTCTATCAAGATGAGAAACTAGTCTGTCCTGCCTCTAAGCAGTCCACATCCTCCTATTAGAATATAAATGTCATCATATATGATCAGAACTAATGATCTGCCACTTCCTCCATGTGACTTGGGAGGAAGAGGTAGGTAAGGAACCAGCCAGTCAGATCACTCCAAGTTTTGGGAAGTCTGAATGCAAATCCTTGAGAGAGAGAGCATTTTATCTCTTAATGCTTGTTACTCATCCAAACTGCTTCGTATCCTACTAGGAAAGATAATAAGTGAAAAAACCTTAATGCTCTTAAATGCAACTAAAATATAGAGCTGATTTATCATGCATTTGAGATATCACCTCTTTACGTGATTAATACCTGTTTACCGCTTTTCTTCTCTTCTGCATTTTTCTTGTCATTTTTTTTGTAAGCGTCAAATGTAGCAGGGTCAACACTGTACAAACACTCCGTCCACTTCCCATACAGTGCACAAAGTTTCTTTTTGCTGTCAAAAAAGGACTAAGTTTACAAAGGGGCTTAGAGAGATTTATTTCATTGTTTCAGACAAAAGTACTTGAAAGAAGAACTTTTGAGAGCAACTCTTAAAACTCCATTATTGATGTTGCACAATTCACAACCTCGCTGTGGCAGGTTCATGCCCTTGAAAGACGACGTTTAAAGGCGTTCAGTTCTATCTACAGCTCCCACCAGAAACAGCGGACAGACATGTGTTTCCTGTTGGGAATGAAGCTGTTACCTTTTGTCCTGAATGTAGCCTTCAACTTTGTGCAACTCCTTCCCAAAGAGACCGCACGGCTTGAAGCTTAGTACGCATTTCTCACCAGTTCTAAAGGCAGAACAAGAGGGCAGTTGTTATTTCCAAATCCTTTTCCTCTTCAAAACTGCAGCAAGCGAAAGGGCTGACACTCTCAACTTACTTATGGTTAGTTATTTCCACGTTTCCATACTGCTCAATCCAAAGTTTGCCCACAATGATGTTATGCACACAGCATGTAGGATTTGTCCACGTGTAGGCTTCATTGTGTCTAAGGGAGGAGAATAAAAATCAGAATACTGCATCTCTGTACTGGATGTAACTCCTACAACAAGCCATTGTCTACAAATCATACCAAGTCTTAAAATGAGCATGGCAGCAAGTCAGGAAACACAAGAAGTTTAACAACCTATTGCTAATGATTTTATCAATTCCTTGGAACAGCTACTACAATGCAGTCCTTGGGTGACATGAGGAAAACCAAGAGGACTCCAGTGTTCTAGTCTTAGTAAGACTGATGGCCAGGCACCTGCAGGACACACGGACGCAAGCCCCAGCTGTTGCTACTATTACTGTGCAGTTTACTAGGAGAAACAGAAGAAATAATGGCCGTTCCTTTCATCTTTTCACCCCTTCCTCCCCACAAAGTGATCTGACATGAAACATCATGATGTGGGTGTTAGCCACGCTCATTCCTAAGCCATGAGACTTTAATGCATGTTAGTAAACAGGGATGTGGCCACTGTACCTATGCAATTATTGCTGATCAACTTACTCAAGAAGCTCCAAAGTCATTGTGCCTTTTGGTTCCGCTTCCACACTCTTGCCCCAGAATTTGAGTTTTGGATAAATCGATCCATGAAACACAAAATCATTATTTAAACCCTCTGCATAGAAAGCGCTGATTGGTGGATGATGGCTAACTTGCTCTGAGAGAAGTCTAAATCCAAGATCATCTCTGCAAAATAAAGATAACCAAAAGCATGAATCTACAGATCAAGCGTAGTGGAGTTGCAGTTCTTTTCCCCTGGGTGAAACAGGTAATTGGATCCATGCATAGCTGCTGTACTCAGTGCAAGAGTTAAGTTAAAATTTTAGGATAAAACAAAAAAACAGATCAACTAATACATAGAATTACCCTCATTCTAAGTAATTGAGTACATAATGTAAAAACCTAACAAGAACTACCAAATCTGATCAGCCAATATGTTTACTTTTGATAGTGGCCTCCTTCTTAACTTTTCACAGTTTTTGGCCTTTGAGGCCAAAACCTCACCTGAGAGAAATATTTGCCCTAAGTGCAGCTGCACACCAACAGAATAACACTAACAGACCAACATTGTCTATTTGTATTCTGGGCACTCATATAAAGAATATACATCTATTCCAACACATCCCTTATGTACCATGCATCTTTTCATTCAGAAGGTTTCAGAAAAAAGTAATTCTTTAAAGTAAAATGTGCTTTTAAACCTGGTATATTTAATTTCCCTGCTCCAAGTTGGAAAGTTGAGTAGTTTCCCTTCACTGGAAGGTGCACTGCCGAGCACCAACACACATTGCGAGCACCTCCAGCAGCTGCTAGGAAAACAGGTGGAATTTTACCAGCCAAAGAGCAGTTTGCAAGCCACCTGACAGGTCTAACGAAACATCAGTTACACAGAGAATCACTGTCCACTCTTCAGTGCATCTTCTGCTCATTACCTGATCAACTCATACGTCTCTCCAAGCAAGGGGTTGAACGGCTTCCCTGTACGCTCCCACTGCGAGGCTACAGCAGACACAGCAAATGCAGCAACGCACTACTCAAAAGAGTGAGAGTACACAATTAATCTCCTGGCTTTTAGTCTTTATCAAGTATCAGAACAGCACTCATGGTATTACAGAATCATTCTTCTGAAATAGCTTAGCAAACAGTCTTCTGTTTGCAAGACTGGGGAATAATCAGTTTTAATCAAAAGGCCATAAAAGCAAGCCTTAGAAAACGCAAAACATTTTCCTAGATAAGCAAGACTGGTTAATGAATAAGGCAATCTGACATGCAGTAAATTACAGGAGCTTCTCCTATAATGAGAGTATCTATGAAGAAGAAAATCCCAACACATTCATCAAGAGCTCGCACCAATTCCCATCCCCCAGGTACCTGCATTCGGTCCGTTGTGCAGGAAAGCGAGCTGGCTTTGTGGATGAGGTACGTGTGCTCCATGTACTCTGTAAGCCGCTGCAGAAAGCTCAGCGGCTCATTGAATATAACCGGCATTGTGATCTTCGACAGCTCCTGAGGAGCAAATGAAATTTGTGTTAAAACCGAACGATTAGATCCGCTGACCTGCAGTAACCCAAGGGTAATTGGCTTATTACAAAAATAAATGATGCTCTTAGTGCTAATGCCATGTGCTTGACCTAGCTCCGCTAATGCTGAAAGGAAAAAACCCCCCTGTACATCCCGTACAAGCTTGCTAAGCCTATCTGTGTTGACATTAAAGCTACTTTTAAGACAAAAAGAAAACCAAACATCAAACAAACTTCCTACCAACAAATGCATGATGAAGGTGAGATGAAACAATGGAATGAGCTATTAAGGACTCTTTTTAAAAGACTAAATTATTTATTATTCATAAAATAGATATAGGCCATCTAATTACTTAAACATACTATCTTTTTTGAAGGCAGGTGGGGGGAGGAGGATGAGAAAGGACAGGGAAACATGGGGGCACAGGAGTAAAAACAGAGTTTGTGTATTCTGAAGTAAAAAGGAATTTTTTTAACAGAAATAAAAATTTAAGAGAAATCCTACAGTTTTGATGCTGTTTATTCTCCTTCCCTTCTTTTTTTTTTGTATTTGAAGTTTGTAACACTTTTCTGCTAAAGCCATCGTGGGAAGACTCAGATGCTTCACAACAACTCACGAGACTCAGAGCTGCTGATAGAGGCATTCCCCAGCATTTTCCACACCTCACTGCTTGGTGCTGTTCGTAACAACAGCAAGGGGAGCAGGAGGAAACAACAGCAACCAAACACACACGTTCCCTTCAGTAGGCTACTGCGACAGGCTGATGGAGATTTAACAGGAGGAAGTACTTCCAGCCGATTGAGGAGCTCATGGGGAGAAGAAGTCTGCTCAATTCACCCTTGGCTGGAAGCAGATTATGTGCCAACCAGTCAACCGCTGATCTGGCCACCACCTGGGAGTAAGACTGAGATAGTAAAAGGATGGGAGAAGAGCAAAATTAAAGTAGCTGGGGGTTTTGTTTTGAGGTTTTTGCTCGTTTGTGTGTTGGTGGTTTTTTATTATTTTTTTACCTCACAAAGTAAAAGATTTTGCTACCACAAAGTACTTTAAGGCTTAAAATCAAGAGAAAATGCTCTTACTGAAGGAATATTGCTCTGACCAAATCTTACCTTCTCAAGCTGTGAAAGCAAATAAAGCAAAAGCAGCAATATGTAAAAAAAAAAAAAAATAATTTAAAAAAAAATTTCTCCCCAAGTTTTTATCTGGGCCTCAAATGAAACAATCACTCCACATCTTTTATCACAGCTGTCTGATTACCTACCATTCCAATGCATTTCCTTAAGATACTCCAGATACTGAAGTCATTTCTAGAAAACATCGGAGAGGGCAAGCTTGTTCTGTGGAGAGGAACAGGGAAGAAAGCAGAAGTAAGAAGTGCTTTCCATTACTAACCATGACTAAGAAACCCAAACACTCTTTTTTGAAAGTAACAGTTTTCCAATTTGCGAGTTAAACATCAAAGGGGAACAACAGTGCTACTTCAAAGCATTTAAGCTGTTTTACCTGCACAGAAACCTGAATTTCTCCAAAACCAGAACCATTTCCGTCATTAGAGCAATGGAAGAGAATTTCTACATCAGTTACCAGAAGAATGCTTTCTCAATGGCACCATTAACACATTCAGTTGTGTCTTTGTAAGTTCTTTCCAAGTAGGTACATAGGTACGTCCACTGTGTCTGAACAGATCTGGGGAATTTTTGTTAGTCACCTGTATATTGACAATGAAGGGCCATGACATTTATCACCTATATTAAAATCATTCCTCAGAATCAATAGAAAAAGCAGCAACATTGAAGATACATCATTAGACTGGATATTAGGAAGAAATTCTGTACTGTGAGGGTGGTGAGACACTGGCACAGGTTGCCCAGGGAAGTTGTGGATGCCCCCTCCCTGGCAGTGTTCAAGGCCAGGTTGGACAGGGCTTTGGGCAACCTGGTCTGGTGGGAGGTGTCCCTGCTCATGGCAGGGGTTGGACTGGATGAGCTTTAAGGTCCTTTCCAGCCCAAACCATTCTGTGATTCTATGAAGAACAGAAACCACAGTAGCCTGCGCTACAGGGGGCTGACATATCCTGATGAAAGTCTTAAACATACTTTCATGACCAACGTTTAGGCTGTAAAATGCAGCCTGCACTTCTCAGCTTTGAGAAATCAGGCATAGATTTTGTTCAGTTTTCTTACTGCTACTGGCCAGCTTGACTATTAATTTACCTACAGAAAGGCATAAATATAGATCAGAGCCCTTTGTCCACAACACCGCCAAAATTCATGTTTGGATCATAAAGCTGTTAGCAATGAGGCAAATTCTCAATTTAAAATTACCTACAGCTCACTCAAACTGCATAAACTATTGGAGTTTAAAAGTTCAGTTATCTCTATCTAGATGATCGTGTTGCTCTCCCTCCTAACCAAGAAAGTCTTGTCTTCCCTCAAAGTAGCTAAAGCAGGATCTTTTTTAAAGAGTGCTAACAGCCCACTGCCTCCTACAGCCCACTTTTCTGATAAACACGTTGCCAAGTGAAAATATAAAAATAAATAGGTAAAAAAAAGAAGTCTGTTCAGGCTAAGTTGTTAGGTTCCCTAGCCCTACTTGCTGTGTTATCTCCCATACTTATATGCTCCGAAAACACCTTTACCAGGGCTGATGCTTCAGTTTTAAGAGAACAAAACCAAAAAATGCTCCTTAAAATACAACAAGCCCCATCCAATCACAAACCCAGTCAGATGCCTGAACTCCTTACTTTCAGGAGTAAAAACGATCTACATTTTGTTAGCAAGTACCTAACAGCCTCACACTGACTTGCTTTACTTGGCTCCCATGCAGGGGAGGATTTATTTTATTTTACCAACATGACGCCACTCCCTATTCTGATTTTCCACCGATATAAAGATATTTCGTGAAGCAAATAATCTTGAATAACATTAAGAATAAAACACTTCTGTGGATGCTTTGATACAAATGTCCAGGAGAGGACAGCGTCCACCAGGCATTCAGTCCTCATCTGTAGCTTTTACTTGTTTTTTCTGTGTATTCTTTCATGAAGGCAGTTAGCACAGTGGGATTTGAGTTTAAGTCCTTCTGTATGTAAAACACACTGATGTGCCTCTCGTTTGCTGCAGTACACACAGCAATTGCTTTCCTTACATACCAAAACTTAAATTTTCATTGAAGTTAACCTCTCCCTCTGATTTGTTTGATTACTTGAAAGCTGGCATTCAGTTTCAGCCCTTTCACCCATATTTCTTACATATATCATCCAAATCTAACACAGGAGCCGGTCTTCTCCATATAACATGCACACTGAAGAAACAAAGCAGTTTTAAGTCACCAAGAAAGATGCCAGGGACAAATAAGGACATGTGGAAAAATGACAGGCAGCCAAGGCTTGAGGCCCACTAACCTTGACACAGTCTCTGTGATTAAGGGAAATTTTGTGAACCCAAACATTTTCTTTCAGATGTCAATTTTAGAAACAACTCAGGAAGCTCATTTTAGCTTTAAGTGACAAAAACATCTGCAGGAATTGCTTACCAGTAGAACAGAGAAGATGAATTTAAGATCTTTCACTTAAACAGAAACACTTGTTTGAAGCATTATTTACAGCAGAACAACTACTACAGGAATCTTGTGGGGAAGGAGACATATGGTGTGAAATAGGCATGAGTAGCTTGCTCTTCACATAAACCTGACCAAATAAGCTTCTGGCTCCCAAAAACCTAAACACAAGCACGTCTGCAACCTGAAAGGCCACCAATGGGGTGGCCAAAAGGAAAGCTGACTACAAAAACTCAGCTGTAAGAGGGAAACAGCAGTGACAAATGGATGTTACATGCTGGCAAGTATTGCAGAACATTTTTGTGCAAGGGGCTTTTTGGTGTTTTGGTTGATTGGCTTTTTTTAGGTTTGACTCAGATAAAAAATTTCCTTCTTAAGAAAAAAGCTACTTGAATACTTCCAGATTATTTTATGTACTACTCTCCTATTTCTCACATTCTCTCCCAAAATGTTTTCAAAAATAAGTCCTCTCTCAAACCAATCTAAGCTGTAGGTCATCACGTCATCCACTCTTTCAAACACTATGAACAATCAGTAGGATGCAAACCACATTAAAACAATCAGAACAAGACCACAGATTAAAAGTGGCACTGTCTTCACCCATCTACATATGTACATCCCAAGACTAAATACCTCTGAACCAACAGATAAAGTCTCCAAAACCAAAACACATACTCCTCCCACAGAAAACTGACCTACACCTCCCTGTGCAAAATGTTCACCACTCAAGTAAGAGAGGCAGATTAGAACCCAGGTTTTCTAGATGAAGGTAGGAAACAAAGTCTTATTTATACTGACTGCTGAACAGTGTTAGGTACTCCCATGTGAAACCCAAATGCAGCTGCAGTTCTTCCATTCATCTGAAGAACTACAGGAAGGTATCAAGATTTTAGGCAAACCAAATTAATCTGGTGGTGTTCTCTTTGTGACTTGTTTCCATGTGGTTAACAAACAGAAGTGAAACAAAGGAGTGACAGCAAAGCCAAAGGAATAACGATGGAATTAAGTGCTGCCAAAACATTTTAACCCTCTCACTCTGGATAGCACCAAGGCTTCCTGCTCTGAGAAGTGACACAGATGGCACCACAGACAACGCATATTTGACCACTTGCCCTCTAACTGGCCCCAAAACCAAGAGAGGCCCAAACTGGAGCTGGCGGCTCTGAAGTCAGAACCGCAATCAGATCCTGCACCAGGCCAAGCATCACTGCCACCAAGAGCCTCAGAAACAAGGCTAGAGACACCACACATCTCCCATCCCCTGGGAACGTGCTCTTGAAAGTAGAATTTAAATTGGCTGAGCTCTGGGAAGACACTGCTTGCACCAATATATTTGTGGACAAATCCCAGTGTGTCGCCAAGGTGCTAGGTAAAGAAGGTTTACATTACAGCTCAACCTAGAATGTGCTCTGTAGCTATTTAGTCACATAAAATATGACCAAACATTCTTATCTATATGCAAAGCAGATGTTTCCACTTTTCTTAGCAGTAAATTATAAGCCAGCCAATTTACGCACTCATTTTACTCTGACATCTTATACTCTCTTTACTACTAAAAGATACACAACTCAGAAAAACAACTTACACAGAAGTACTTGTTTATGGCTTTTTATTCTCCCTTATAAAACCAGCAGATCTTAAATACTCCTTCAGCCACCTGCTCCCTACAGTCCTGACAACATAGTGCAGCATTATGGAAACTTGCCAAGTTATTTCTATTTTATAGCAAACGGAAGATTGAGTCCTGTTAAAGCTCTTCAGGACAATGCATGTCAACATGCATCAGCATTTTCATGTCATTAATGGTGATTTGCCTCCTTTCTCCTCATTGTTTCCAAGGCAATGAATGCAATTCAGATGTCCACCTTCAGCTACTGCTTGCCCCCCCACCCCTGAACTTCCTGCTCTAATTAGGAAAGGCACTTCGCCAAGGCCATAAATACCACCTTGCTAACAGCAGCAGAGTGCAGAGCTGCACTCTTGCTCAGCTGCTTTACGGTTCCTTCCCAAACTACCCTGCTACTCCACCCAAGCCCTCAATTGCCCTCAACTTTGCCTGGTACGGGAGAGATATAAATACAGAGAAAGAACTTTGAAACATCAGATCTCTGATATTACCACATACTTCACCGCAATTTAACTATTTAAGACACCAAGTAATTCAAGCGTGTCTTGCTTGCCTCTGTAAAATTAAATATTAATTAAATTTCCTGGTTTTACAGAAATCTGGAGTTCCCCCACCATCATTCCACACATCCAAAACACTTCTGAAGTTGTATTTCTGAAACATGCTGAAGCCTGGCTTGATCTGTAGCATAAACATCATATTGCCCCTTCACTGCAACTCGAGACCAGTGGTGTCTATTACATCTCATTAACTCCAGACCCATTGTCCTCCTTTATCAGCAAGGAAACAAACCAAAATGGATCATTTGACAACACAAAATAAGCACATAAAACATGGATGAGACTTTTAGCATAAGACTCTTTTGTTCACATTTGAGTTCCTGATGCCAGGCTAGCAATATTTTTCATTCATTCCTGATACCAATAGAAGGATCAAATGACTGGAAATTAAAGAGGCAATAGGAGGCATAGGTCATTAAAGATACATGAAGGAATTAAAATCCACATAATTTCATTAAGATCTATTAATAAACAAGCATGTCCATTTTTACATAGCACATTTTATTTTATTTGTACTTATAGGGATTCAATCATCTGATAGATGATCTAAGGTACAAAGGTGCACACTTGCCTTGGAAAAATATTCTTCATAAAATTATAACCCAATTAACTACTGGTCAATCACTCCTAACAAAGTTTAAAGTTTTCAGTTAGCTTTTCAGAGATTCCTGTGATCTTTCACTCACCATTAATGCATACTGCAGTACTTCAAGAATGGGTAACATCCTACCTGTGTTTTTTGATTCCATTAGACAGCGACTCTCCACTGCCACAAACCTTTTCTTCAGAGACGCCTGAAGTTATCGTATCTTTGGAATCCATGCTGTCCTCTAAAGAGAAGGCTGTGGTTGTTTCAAAGCCACTTAATGATTTTTCAGATTCCGAATCTGCAAAAGAGCGGGTGCATGTTAATAACCCTACTGCCTGTGCTGGGCTTCAGCCACCAACAGATCTTCCCTCTTTGTACAAAACTGAAACCTAAGGAGGCTGCTGTGTCCTGATGACAGCATCCATTTGGTAAGTAACCAGTACGGCCACAGACAGCTGCAGCTCTGCATCCGGACATAAAGTGATTGCACGATAAGCAAAAACACAGTACATTAAAAATCCTTTATCAAACAGAGCTAAAATCTGACATTTTTATTAAAATGAAGTTACTTCAACTTGCTTAAGACAAGTTCCCCTGTCACACAGATGCCAGTATCTCACATAACTAAATACCAGTTACCTCAACATCCAAGTATTGGGTCCTCCTTCCATGTAAGATTTCAGTTTGGTCTAAATTCTTAGACACTCGGTGCTGTTCAGCAACCTTCACTTCCCAATGCACTGAACGAGTATCAGAGACCAGGAGGAGGTATCATGCGCGGTGGATTACATTAGCCACGTAAATCCCAGCAAAGTCTAAACGATAAGCCTGGCAATCAGTAAGATAAACTTTGTACTCTGGAAGGTAGGTTAACAGTACAATCCACACTACATCTAAAACTAAACCAACACCTATCACACCACCCTATTTCCAACCAGTAAACACTGGTCAGGTAGTGCTTGACCAGCTCTGGACAGGAGACTGTCTTGCTCCAAATTGGAAAGTAAAAGGTTTCCTGGCAAAAAAGACGGTATTTTTGCTTCATGTTTTTCTTTTAAATCTGACAAGACTGTCATAGGATTACCCACTTGCAAGTTTCAGGAAGCAAGGGAACAGCTCAAGACAAGTAAAGATGCACTAATTTCTATCCCATTTGGGAAACCCTTTAGCAGAAAGGTACCAGTGACAACACTGAATGATAAACAGCTTAATGCAAGCCTCACCGCTTCCATGAAAAGTGAACCCAAACTCTAGTAGACACCATTCATGCTATACGCTTCTTTCAGCATATGCTACTGCTCTTGGCTGCAAATACCCTGAGAAATAATTGCAAGATTAGTCATTCTCTCACACACTGATTTTAATTCAAAACTAGTAATCAAAACCCGCTGGAGTAGTAGTCCATCCAAAAAACTCTCAGTCACAGCTGCCCATTGCCAGGTGCTTGCCTGTTTTCTCTTAAAAAATGATGCCAGTAGCTTCTCCAGAACTTGTCAACTACATGTTGCTTTGACAAAGGGACAGTGACAAGAGGAATTTCTACCACATCCATTAGGAAGAAACTTTACTGTGAGGATGGTGAGACACTGGCACAGGTTGCCCAAGGAAGTTGTGGATGCCCCCTCCCTGGCAGTGTTCAAGGCCAAGTTGGATGGGGCTTTGGGCTACCTGGTCTGGTGGGAGATGTCCCTGCCCATGGCAGGGGGTTGGACTGGATGATCTTCAAGGTCCCTTCCAACCCAAACCATTCTGTGATTCAACGATCCAGATCACAGAAAGGTCACAAACAGGATAAAATCCTGAAAAACAGATAGGCTCTGCCAAAATGCCTCCATCCTCTCTAGAGAGTGAGATCTAGAAGCATAAAGAAGAATTTTGCTTTCATTAGAAACATCCATCTCTATCCTCATCAAGACAGTGCTGAAATTAAGCCAGTTGCTAGGGAATGAAATTATCTACCAGCTGGTGCTTAAGATATGTTAAAAAAGTGGACTGGCACTCCAGAGAATCTTCTCACAAGTTTCCCCAAATTTGTCAGTCTATTTCTGTGCCAAATTACGCTATAACACATCAAAGCATTAGTTTGGTGAGTCCTGTATATAACAAGTAAGATAAGGAGAAGCATTTTTACTTGTGGACAAGTTCATTACATAAAATGGAGATTTTCCCAGAGATCGTAAGCCCAGGTAGACAGGAAAACACAGCTGCATATGCAAGTATCACAGAGGAAGGGCACTCACACTCGAGCAGTGTAAGAGACCTTGGGCCTCAGCATCCCAACCACAGGACAAGCTGCAAATCCCTTCAAGGTAAGCATGTCACCTCTGTACCGAAAGAGCTGCTCAAGTGTGCCAACAGTTACCATGACAAGAAAAGCATGAAGCAAACCCTGTAACATAAAGCAGAGTTTCCCTCCTGTAAGGCTCCTTTCTTTTTCTGAACCATCCGGGCCTGGCTTGTTTTCGGACAAGTCACAACACACCATTCCCTCAGTATGAGGTTCTGCGTCAGACCCAGGACTCGGGGAGCAGAAAGGGCAGAACAGGCGAGCTCCAGCAGAACTGCTGATCACTCTCCAATGTGCTTCTCAGTGTAACAAGGATTTTTAAACACTACAAATTCAGTTCTCCTAATGCTGGCCTTACAGTGCTGAGACACAATTATACTGGACTCAGCTTAGCACTTGCAAAACCCTCCAGAGCTGTAGACACTGACCAGCCAGCCTTCTCCAGGGCATGTGCCTTACTTGCTATACACCCTATACAACACAAACAGTAGAGGAATGAAACCAGACACTGTTGTAAGAAATTGCTCTCTAGAGAAATCTCTCCCATTTTCCTGAGAAATGGCTCTCATGGCGAAAGTATGTCTACAACAGCTCCTGCCATCAAAAAATCTCCATCTCCAACCCCTAAACCTCAGTCACCTCCTTTGACCCCCAAGCTGAACAAGCCCTGAGAGTCTGTTTAGGTGTCAGAGAGAACAGGCCTAGTATTGAATTGTCAGCATGGCTCAACAGGCAGCTCAAACGGAGCTTTTCCCTCTGCACTTGCAGCTAACTCTTTTCTGAATTAAGATTTGCATACTCCCCCGGCACTGCAAAAAAAGATTTATATTCACAAGTTGCTACAGAGCAGCTGTCAAACAGATGACTAGGAGAAAATGAGATTTTTTTCTATTGAACTTAAGGGGGTGTGGGCTGAGGAGGAATAAGAGTCCATGTTCAGAAGCCAAAATTTTAAAGTAATCTTTGAGACAAGACAAGGCTGACTAGGAAGCTCTCCAGCTCATGAAACCTGAAGTGTCAGGGTAACAGTAAAAACACGAGCTACATTTTTCTGCAGGAGTGGGAGAGCAAGGGGAAACAGCAGAAGCAATGAGAGAAACTCAACTCAAGAGAATTTCACCTCCTATGGCAACAACTGGTAAGTCTTCAACATCAGACAGAAAACTTTGGCTAACGTATTTGATTAATAAATACACCTGAGAAAGGCAGTGTTTAACCACCAGTAAGACTGGGTTTAAATTCTGACCAGGTGTTTCCTACCCTTCTCCTACTTTATTCATTCTTAGCTATATTCAAGGCAAGAAGTCCACAGCCAGCAGTGTTCTCACAGAGGTTGTGGAGTATTTTCAGTACGCGTTCAAGAAAGCCACTTGAAAAACTACACTAAACATGGAAGGAAAGGGAAATTCAGTTTCTATGTTTTTTTGTACAGTTTTTACCTTTAAGTAAAGGGCTGACAACTGGAGACAAATTAGGACATGAGCAAAAGCAATGGAAGTAGTCTACTATTACTTGTATCATTCAAGAGTATTATTTATAAACACAGCATCCATTAGTGGTACTTAGCAGTTGAAGCTGTACCTATGACAGGTTACCTTTAGTATGATCTATATACTCCTGTAGCTAAATAACTGCTATTATTGTAAGGTAGCGTCTACGTACAACTATCAATAACCCCCTCAACAGACACAAAAGCTGTGTTTGCAGAAAACCCCCACCTCTCAGATAAAACCTGTCCAAGAGAAAAATCAGGACAGTTCTAAGCTCTTCCCAAATTGAGTGCAATTTGCATATAATCAGGGAATCTTACCTTCAAGGCAAAAAATCAAATACCTTCACCCTTTAATTCTTGACCTGCTTAGCCATTCTTCAGCATTGTGGATGGACTCTGCATTTATATTTCATTTTCATGTGCTTCCTGAGGTCTGTATACTTAATCCAAGCCAGTAAGTCATCCAGCTCTCTAGATGCCATTGGTCTTATTAAATTTTGCTATTTGTTTAGTGCTACTTCTCTTCCCCAATGCCCGCACCCTGCACCACAGCCTGCTTTAAACATAAAAGCAGAGTTTGACACATGTTAAGCATTCAGTCCTGAAACGGAGAGCTCCAGCACCCCATGGGCTATCGAGTTTAATTACACATTTCCAGCACTCCCATGATGAGAGGATCAGTGCACCAGGAAGCACTGTTCACTGACCTCCTGTTGTCAGAGTTCAGATTAATAACATCCGTAACTGTGCTGCTCTGAACACTGGATATCATGCTTTGGTAACACAAAGTAACTCCTGTTTCCTGTAGGTTCGTTCTTTCGTGTTTAGTGTCTACTGCTCTTCCATTGCAGGGATTTAGGGGTTACTGCAACAGTCAGAAAGCACTGATAACAGCCTATCACTTAAAAATAAGAGGAGAGACAGCAGTTTTGGAAAAGAAAGAGGGTATTTCTGTAACAGTGCCTACAATTTCTACAAGCAGGACTGCGCAATGCAGACTTATGAGTGACCAACTTAGCCTATGCCAACATTAGCAGGTAGCGTGGCTCAGCTGGAGCGGATTTGCAAGCCAAACAGATGGTGCAGAGGACTCAGCACGTGAATGAGTTACATTTCTGGTGGTGATCTCTGCAGATGAGCTCTAGCCTCCCACCATGGGCTGAGCATCCAATAGCAATCGTACTCTATAGTCTGATTCACCTTCATTCATGGGAGTCCAGTTCGTGCAATCAGGCTGCTCTACAAGGTGAATCAGAGCATGGTAAATGGGGACAAGTAGCTGCTGCTGTTAACATAGCCTAATATACCTCTTGTTCAAAAACCTGTTTGAAAAGTCTTGCATTGCTCTGAATTGTCACAGCTTGTAATAATTTTGCTGAGAGTAAACAAGTAGAAGTGTCTAATACGCAGACAACAGTATTTAAAAAAACCAAACCAAGCAGCAGCAGTGGCTTCTTTCAACCTGCCAAGTCAAAGCCAACGATTCTTCAGCTCAAAGTGCAAGCTTAGTCATGCAATACTCTCACTTCTAAACTCACTCCTACAGGAGAGATTTAAACATTCAGAGAACTGTAACTAGGAAAAGATGGTATCCCAATAGGAAAAATACTCTTGAAGTAGGGGCATCTTTCCACTGACAGACATTGTAACTTGTCACATCACCCCATTGAAATACATTGGTGTTTGCGCAGCCTCTTATACAGCCTAGTACAATAATTCATGACTACGTCTATCCAAAATCAATATAATTCAACCTAATAAAATACTACCAGATTACAAATCATGTTTAGCAAAAGCTTTGAAGACTAAGTCCTAGTAGTTCAGATTTCTGGAGCTATACATTTTTTAGTTTCTGACAATTAGGCCTAGTCACTGCTCTGTTACGAGAATATGTATGAACATATCCCCCTTCACATTAGCCCAAGAAAAAAGACCCCCATTCCTAAACTCTGAGCCAGCGTCATATACCCCAACTCCTCTGCTCTCACTATTCTTGTCATACAGAGACAAAAGGCTTTCTAGGTAAGACTCCACAGCCATGGCAAAAAAGCTGGAGAATTAGAAAATATTACCAGAATCCCAGTGATTAGCTAAAAAAACCCAAAACAACCAACCAAAAAACAATCTACCAAACAAACAAAACAAATAAAACACCATACCCCAAACTACACCCACAAGACCCCCCTAATTCCTTTTGTACTTGTGGTGAAAGTCGTAACACACAACCAGCAGCTAGGAATGTCACATTTCCCTTTCTCTAGCTCCCAAATCACCCCTCCCCCAAAAATAAAAATTTAAAAAAAAAAAAATCAGAGTGCCCTTGCCCCAAACATGTGTGCCTTCAAAAACAGACAGGACCCGAATCACTGCAGAGCACTGAATGTGAACAACCTAGAGAAGAGAACCTAACACAAGTCTGATGAAGTTGACAGACAGCCAAGAAAGTGCATCTGTCCTGGAAAAGTATTTAAATTGCAATCAAGACAAATTATGTCAAGTAACTTCTCCCGAAGGAGGGAGAATTGACACGTGTTTTTTATACACGCAGAGATATGCTCAACAAGTTTCAAACAAATCCAGTGAACAAATCCTCTCGATGTGATTTGTTTGCGGCTTCAAGTGACAAAACCACCTCCTCTCCCAACTGGAGAGGCGGCTTTGGACACTTTCATTTGGGATTTAGTGAGCGGATCAGTTATTAGATGTACTGACTAACAGCTCTCTCAAGCTGAGCATTCTCTCATCTACTCAAAGCAAACCTGGCCAGAGAGACCACATTCCAGCAGCACCAGATAAACCAGCACCAGATATTCTCCGGTTTGTTGTGACTTTGGTTCTGGTTGAAGAACCCGTTTCTAGTGTTCCTCAACCTCTTCTCCTCCTCGAAGGCTTGATGAATTTGTTACTGTGCCAAGCAGCAAAGTCTGCGGTTGATTCACTGTGCTCCTGTGCTATTGCTATACTTGAGCACAGACTCCACTTTGCCTGGCTTTTATTTTCTGCTTAAGCTGTGCGCTGCAGGACACCTCTCAAGGAGTGTGGGAACACTGCTTTTCCTCGTGTGTCGGAGGCATCAGACAGCTCAGCTCACAGAAAACGTAACCCCATGCTTGCTCGTGAAGTATGCCAGCACATCCTAGTTATCTGCCACAGTTAGACTATGTTCACCCACCCTCAAGCTCTTCTAGATCCTTCCCAGTTGTAGACAGCTGTGCGCTGCAGCATAGCCCAGTCAGAGCTATTCTTGAGCTGCATTTGTATAGAGAGGCTATACATAGTGCCATGTTGTAATCATCTTACGCAGTTCAGACTCTTCCAAAATCACTATCTGCACGTTCTGCGCATGCAAATATGCAAGATACTAAACTGAAGAGCAGACAGGGAAAGAAAAGATATTTCAGAAATGCAGGCAGGATTTTGATGGATGCTTTTCTCACACCCGTGACGTGTAAGGTACACAAAAGTGAAACAGAACAAGCCTTTCTTAACCTCATTATCCCTCAAAACTAGGGATTTTTATGGACTGATCTTAACAACAAAAGAAAAAACATACACTAACATGAAGAAAGCAAGTCAGAAGGCTACCAGATACAGTTACATCTCCTAAAATAGGAACTGTAAGATTTGCTATTTAAAAAAGGGCGTAGACACCCAAGCAATCAGACCTTTCATGGCTGCTCTGTGATTTCGTAACTTTTTGTTGTACTAAGGTGAAACACCGCAATCCTGCAGGTGAACTCAGGCAAAATTTCAGAAATAAAGCACAAAGCACATGAAGCACGCTCCTAAAATTAGTTCCACATTAGAAAGGCAGAGATTTCACTTAAAGCGAGCCTGTCCCCACCCCTTCACCACCCCAGTGCATTCACCACACGCGTGCTGGCTGCACACACATGCTCTGGACGTGGTTTCTTACCTGAAACAGCATCATAGAACTGCTCCTCACTGATGATGCTGAGAGGCGGAGATCCCTTAACCAGAGACTGCTCTAGTTCATGGTGCTCAGTAGCTAGAGTCTCTAATGCTTCTGACAAGATCTTGTTTTTCTCCTGCTCATGCTCCAGTTTCAAATTCCTCACCTATAAGTAGATACATGTATGAATAAAATCTCATCTCTCTGAAGAATGCGTAGCTGGAAGCTAATCAGAAAATAGACTCTAATAAATAAGTAACTGGCAAACAGCTGGAACTGAAACCAGATGGATTAATGAGGAAAATCACAGTATTTTTGTGACGAGAATATGGTTGTTACTCAGCATTTTCAGAAATCCGACAAAAAAAGACCTGATAGCATAGATCACAGTTCCACAAGTGAATTCAAGCCAGATATTATACCTTAAAACTGAGGGGAAATATTTACAACTATTTGGATGACCTTAACTATGCAGTTAATGATCGGGTTCTACATGCACCAAGCTCCTTGTGCTAGTCTGCTCTAATTTGGGCCAAGCAGCATCATCTAAATTGAATTACAGTGCAAATGTGAATGCTGGCTACAAATAACTGCAACTGAACGGTGAGCTGAAAACATTTAACCCTGAGGATTGCAGAAGGAGGCTTAAAGAGACTTCTCTGTTAACTGATCTAACACCGATATAAACAGCCCCCCTTCCACACGCTCAAAACAGTGTACAGAGGAGCCAGAAGCTGACAAAAAAGGAAGCCCAGCCACCAGATGGTGGACTTTTTTTCCTTTTTAAAGTCCACACACGCAATCAGCTCCAGAGAGGATGATGTTATCCACATCCTGAGTCTAGAACCAGTAATGGGAAAGCAACATGTCCTTCCTATTTCCTCCTTATTTGTGGGGTGTTTTCAGTTTGTTTCGGGGTTTCTTGCTGGTGCTTTCCTGTCTCCTCTTCCTGCCAGGGGAGACAGTTACAGCTGACGGCCCAGGAAGGGCCATTTCTCCCAGCCCAGCAAGGCTGCAATGTGTTGCTACCCCTCCTTCAGTCCCTAAACCACTGCCTCTCCTACTCTCTTCCCTTCCAGTGCCTTTTTAAAGCATCCTTAGTCCCTGCCTTGTCCTCTGGTTTCCTCTCAAAGGTCAGTTTACAACACTAATTCCCCCTGCACTAAGACCATGCAAGGACACGACAATTAATCTCTTGGAACAGTTACAGGGACAACTTACACACTTTCCTAAGCAACGTACACATACACCAACATTACCTTTTTGAATCTAATTTAATAACTTATATATAAGTATATCTTATCTGGTTACACTTTAATGTAAAGCTTTACTTTGGAGGCTTCAGTCCCCTCACTTTTAACAACCACTCAAATCACAGATTCAGAGTCAGGAACAGATGAGGGGGTGCAAATTTAGAGACTAACAAGGAGATAGATATTAAAGCAGATTTGCCACTTCCAGAGAAGAGTTTCTACGCTGGCAGTAACATATCCTCTGGAGAAAGATTTATGGAAGAAATTTTCACTCCCTCAGTTGTGCCAAATACTAAATCAGCTGGTTTGGCTGCCAGGCTCCAAGTGTAAAGGGGCAATCCAATTAAATGATAATTAAAAGAGTATAAAATTGGGTTGCTAATTGAAAGCAATAAAACCAGTAACTCACTGTCTAATAGTTTTACCCTGAACAAAATGAAAAAAATCTGGACTAGTTACTGTCACTTTCATTTAAAGTTCACCAACAGTACCAAGGAAGCCAATTACTGCAATGTTTCATACAAATCAGACATGCCACTGCAAAAGATCTGTTATTAAGCAGTTTCTGCAAGGGTTACGTTTTGGATGCTATCAAACAGTTAAGGAACTACCCATCTAGAGAAACAGCATCAGTATTTCATTCTCCCAGGAGAGGGAGAGTGGAGGACCGAAAATAAAATGGTACTTTTCATTCTTATTAAATAGCAAAGTGAAACCAGTTATTAAAATAGTATTTGCAATACTTTTTACCATATTGAATTAGAGGCCCTTATGCTTTCTTTTGGTTTGAGAAATGATTTGAGTGATTTAATTCTCTAAAAATTAAGTTTCAATGTTACTTAACAGCAAATTGAAAGAAAATAGAAGCACATCTAAAAAAACCCAGGTGAACCTTTTTTTGTATCCCCTAAAAGCACAGCAGTGTGACTAAACAAGCAACAACGTATATGGACTTAAGATAACTACTACCACCACCACCACCCCCCAAAGTCTTTTCTTGGCTTTCCTCTGCTCTATCATAACATAGAGCTTTTCAGTACTGCAGAATGTGTACTGGAAACAAGTTCTCTTTTTGGAAAATAAATAGCCAGCTTTATAGTACGTCTCAGTTTTCCATGTACTTCCAGGATACAATTATAAATACATACATACTAGTAAGTAACAAAAAAAAATTGCTTTTCACCTCTTACATAAGGAGCACCACGCTAGCCCAAAGCAGAGGCAAAAAGAAAACATGTTTTAAGCCTGTGGCTTGTAACCTTTGGGATGTTCAGTCGTATGTGAATGAACCTTCATTCAGTAGTTGGGGGCTGGAGATGAGAGTCCAATATAA